GGACCATTCTCTGTAAACCCTAGAGATGGTTGTGCGTGAAAATCCCAGTAGATCAGCAGTTTCTGAAATACTCAGACCAGCCCTTCTGGCACCAACAATCATGCCACGTTCAAAGTCAAATCACCTTTCTTCCCCATACTGATGCTCGGTTTGAACTGCAGGAGATTGTCTTGACCATGTCTACATGCCTAAATGCACTGAGTTGCCGCCTTGTGATTGGCTGCTTAGAAATCAAATGTTAACGAGCAGTTGGACAGGTGTACCTAATAAAGTGGCCGGTGAGTGTAAATTTCAATAGTGAACAGAGGTAACAGGGTCTGCTCTGACTGACGTTAGCACTTCTACCTGCATATGAAAGCAGAATGATTAGACTTTGAAATTCAACTGTACTGTCATTAAAATTGTCACGAGTACAAAGCAACGAAATTCACTCTCTGCATTTAACACATCCTCTTGGGGAGCGGTGTGGGGTTTACGGTATTGCTCAGGAACCCAAAGTGGAAGCTGTGGGGTTCAAACTGAGTACTATCAGGGCTCCAGTCTGTGTGTTTGTTTTTTTTGTGTTTGTCTCCCTTCCTCCAACAGGAGGCGCCTGGTTCTGGTCCGCCTCCTCACACTCCTGCTGATGGTTACCTCGTTAACGGAGTGCTCTTAAGCTGCTGATTGCCACTACCTCGATATCAGAGTGTTTGCCAATTTTGGGTACTCTAACCAAGCTGAGTTTTTGCTGAATAAGACTGAGTTCTTGTCAACCTGAGTTTAAACTTTGTTTTTTGTCTTTGCCTCTTGGCAGGAAGTCATCCTGCAAACTGGATATTTAGGACCTTCACTCCCTAGAGGGATCAACTGAGCCTCAAACTGTGCTGGGGATTCAAACTGGAGGTTTTGATCCAGTTTTCCAGAGAGGACGTTGAGTTTACACACTGAGCAAGGGAATCATCTCCACTACGACCTGTTCAAGTACCGCAGGAAATCTGAGTGGCAGTCAGTTTCTCCGTTCACCTACAACCGACCGTGTTCTGGGTAAACCCTGTTCCGCCCTCCACCGAATCAGACTAACACAGGAATACAGCACACAGATTGGAGTCAAAGATTCTACAACTTCTCTGGAAATGTGAGTCTACAATCAGATCCTCTTCTCCAAATCCACGAATGAAATTTCCCACTGAGCCTGAACTAATCGTTGTGTCTACCCCTCACCTTCCAGTTCCGGCTGAGCAGAGTTCAGAGCAACACTGCACCGTGCTTCATCTCTTCAGTAAAACCTGTTAAACCTTTTCCCTGGTCTCTCTGAATTGGTTTCTCTGCATGTGGGTCCGAGCTTTAGATAAAACCATAACAGGTACTTGCAACCTTCTCAGAGCACAGTGCACTGCTCTAACCACCACGCCAACACTCCCCAGCTAATATGCATGCATCTATTAACCCTTTGCAAAATAAATTTTAGAATATTGTTGGTCAAAGAAGAAAAACTTCAGAGAGAGATGGGTCGCTAATGTGAAGAAGGCCTCAGGAGGTTCAGGAGTCATGGTTTTAATCATTAGCCAAACTTTAAAAACATCTTTAAAAGGAGTTAAGACGTGGATCATTTAGATATTTAAACCTAAAACAACCTTTAAATCACGCTTCTTCTGGCTGGAACTAATATTTTTATATTTTGGAGCTTGATTCATTAGTTCAGTATAATATAGTATAGTAATCTTTGGCGGGAGATAAAGATTAGGTTAGTTAGGATTGATTAGGAGCCAATTTTTCAGGATAATTTAAAACATTGCCTAGAAATTACATTAAGGGTTTTACTGCTACAATGACTAAAATCCACCTGATCGCCGGTGACCGTATTTATAGCGTTTATGTCAGGGTTCCTGTGTGTTAGTGAGTGCGAGTTAGGAATCTCCCTACAGAGAGGATCTTTGGGGAGAACCTGTGTAGCCTACACAGGTGAAGATAATGTTTCTGGGCTTGAAAGAGCAGCAGAAAGTTCACTTAGTGCTGGTTTCTGGTGTGTTGTTGAAGTCATTTACCTGCTTTCTAGTTTCTTTCTTCGTTCGAGGATTTTCCCTGACGTTTATTGGTTCTTGTTTGATTTTCAGTATTTTTGTATTTTGGATGTTTGCCTCTGTTCATCTTGTACTTTCATTAAATCATCACAAACTCATCTGTGCCTACTCCTCAAAGCCTCCACCCAACCTGACAGTTTACAACTAACAACTCAGAAAACAGGAAAACTAAAACAGTAATTTTTTTTACCAATGTAGACATATTTACATCGTTAAAATCTTAGATTCTCCACGTTTCAACTAGCAAGTTCATTTTATGGACACTGCGAAACACCAAAGCACAATTTACACAGATATAGCTGCATGGTTAACTGTCCAAAAGCCGTTTTAAAAAATCCAATCTTCAATTGTTTAATCTCCATTCATCCATAAAGGTAAATAGATTAAAAGTGTTTCAGCATATTTGTAATAAAAACATTCCATGATGAGAAAATTGCCACATAGAGAAGTTAGCGGGTCATAGTTAATGCTTAGCATTTGGTTAATAAGGCTTACTTCTTGAAGGATTAGCCTGCAATGTTTTTTTTTTTTTTTTTTTAGGATTAGCCTGCAATGTTTTTTTTTTGTTTGTTTTTTTTTACATCGTCTTCCTACCTACAAGCCAAAAGTGTCCGCATCTTCGTATGATTTGGTTTGAGTCAGGGACAGCCGATGAAGCCTCACAAGCTCTCCTTGCCTGTCAGCCAATGACGCACCGAGTAGAGCGATATTACGCCTCATAGAGTCCTGCTGTCATTGGTTAAGACCCCGCGAGCTGTTTGGCTTTGTAGCAAATTAAAAAAGTCTTCAAAAAAGTGAAACACACAGCTAAGGCTGGATAACTGTGCACAGTTCAAAGCTGTTTACTAACAACGCTCCGATATTTTTGAAGTTTGGACACTGATTATGTTTTATTACAATGCCTAAGGCCAAATAAACAAAATACAGCTCAGAAAAGGCACTGTGGCTTATTTTAGCCTGAAAAGCAGCAGTTTCACTATTTTCTATAGATGTTTATGTTATTTTAGGTTTATAGATGAAACATTTTGTTATATACACTGTTTATGAAAAAAATTGGAAAATACTTGCTTCATAAATGTTTTGTGGCCATCAAAATGCTTCAGTGTTATTCTAAGGGGGAAATAGTTGAGTAAAAGCATTTGGCACAATTTGGCTGGTTTGCAGAGGTTTGGAGATGCTGGTGACACCAAAAGTTCAACGCCCCACAGCTCTGGAACTGTTGTAGCTAAATGTCTGATATTCTCTGCATTTGTGGTGGCATGATATAGAGCAAATGTAATAAAATGAGACTCTCAAGCATGTCGTTATTACTGCTGTTCAAAAAAGACCTTATTTTCGAGAAGAAAAAAAACAACTTTGAATTGATTCAGCAAATAAAGAAAAATAGAAGGTTTTAGCTTTCAAATGATGTATCACACATGTAATTTGGGCTTACAGTTCCTCAGTTATTTGCTTTTCCATTTGGGTATGCAAAATAGGTGTGGATCACTTTAAATTAGGTGAGTGTTTAAGTTTCCCCCACTGATTAATGAGAGGATATAGAATTCAAAATCAAATTTTTTTTAAAATCAAAAACAAGGTTTTTGGATCAATTAGAATAATTTATCACCTACATCTTACAATAATTAGAATAATATGGGGCCTAAATGTACATTTTTTTTTTTTTTTACTAAATAACTGTAAATATAACAGGTGACAAAGTGAATCCTGGGACTGACACTTTTTTTTTTTTAGGAAGATCAGATCAAATCAGATCTAATAGCTGCTTTAAAACACTGATTTTCAAATCATATTTCATCCGTTTGAATCCTCTGCGTCTTAATATCTTCTATTAGTTTGGGATCTACTTATTGCTTTCATTAGCCAGATTACCACAGTACAATGCATTGAAAGCTATAGTCTTCTTTTTACATTTCCTGATCTGTATTAAAAACAAACAAAAAAAACAAATGGCTACCATGTGTAGTTGATAATAATTCAGTTCAGGTCCTAAATGTCCATCTCAAAAAACTAGAATATTGCTTAAAAGTGCAAAACATTTTGTTGGTCATTTAAGACACAGTTATTTTATAGAGATTAATTCATTAAATATTCTCATTAAATATGCTCCTTCTTGTCATTTGGATAACTATGGCTTCTAGCTCAAGAAAACAAAAAACTCAGTTTATCTGAAAATTAGAACGTCACATTAGACCAAATTAGAAAAAATGTCAGATTTCTAAAAGGTAAGGCAAGGCAAGGCAAATTTATTTGTATAGCACAATTCAGTACAAAGACAATGCAAAGTTCTTTACATGATTAAAATACAGGAAGATAAAACAGAATCAAAGCAAGTAGGAAAAAAAATATATATATAAATAAAATAGAATAAAAAATGCAGAAACAAAACAAGACAGTTGGAAGTTTTTGTTAGATTACATTTATTTATTTGATGATTTTTTTTTTATATATTTTTTTTTTATGGAGAAGAAGAGGACTTTGTTTGAGCTAATTTTCCAGTATTTGATTTCTAATTATCTTTAAAGCTGTTAGCATTTGATCAAAAATTTCTCCTTGGGCAGTTGACATATCCCCAGAACCTTGCCTTTAGTTCTACTACCATAGAACTGCAAAACCTTTCCCATTATCTACAGGTAATTTAACTCTGCCCGATATGCAATTTAACTCTGCCCAATCCTATGGTGCCAACCTGGATAAATGGGGGGATCCCACTCTAGATTACCGACGTCTCAGTAAAATTAAGTACCTGCTGGTGGCACCTACAACCTTCCTCAACACTCTTAGAGAGAGCCTCACGTCCAGGTAAGCTCATTTCCCTCCCTCCCTGTGCTTATACATTAATATCAAAGTCTGAAGCTCAACTAAATAAATAATTTAAATAAAAAAACAGAAAAAAATAATTCTGTTCGTATGTTCTCTATACCCTACTTATATATTATTTTTATGCCTCTTTTCTATAACAAAATAATATTGGTGTAATACCAGTGTTAAAGCAGACAAACAACAGTATATTGAATATGGTGTCTGAGATGACTTGTAAAAATATAATTTTTATACAGTTTTCAATTTTTTATTTTTATTTTTTTAGATGTACCAATATTTTTTCTGTCACAAATATGCTCAAATTAGCTAAAGATCATTCACTGCTATGGTTTCCTTCCAACAATACTGTTCATTCATAAATGTAAACGCCTGGTCTGTGGTTATGTTTTACATTTCCCCACAAGATTTAGTCAAAACAATGTGGAGCTTCCTGGATTTCTCTTCAATAGAAATAATCAAATACAGACATTTGATTTATGCAAAATATTTAGGGGGGGGTTACCAAACTCATTCAGGCTTTTCAGAGGCCCTCTCTCTTCTGTCATAAAGAGATTAAATTGAACCCTCGCTGAATACTTCCACCCATTCCACAGCAGGACAGTGGCTGACCCCTCCTGATCCATTCGCTGGTGCATCCTCCAATTGAAGCCCACCATCCTGACCCACCTCTCTCTGACCGGCCCAGGAGGCTGTGTTTAACGCCATGCATTGCCCCTCCTGCGACCCATGACTGATTAACCACACACCTGCTGCACTCGCGTGTCCCCTGTTATATTGGTCCACAATCAATCATGTGGCTCGTCTGCCCAGACTAACGGTTGCAAATATGCACCAGTGCACATCTGTGAGTGGGAGGATTTGCATGTTTTGATGTGATTATGTAATAAGACTTCGTACCTGTGTGTTTTTTTAAGAAGGTGCAAGATATGAACAGTGAAAGTCGAGGCCGAGCCACTCACCCATTTATTTCCCTGAAAACTGCCTGCAGAGTTGCACCTTTCAGAGCCACTGCCAGCTGTGGGAGATCTTGAATGACCTGTCCAAAACACATAGAAATCGTCATCAGGGCAGCAGAGGCAGAGGAAGTGCTTCTGTTTACAGTTGTGCTGCAGGCAACAAGGCATTCGTGGGTGTATTTTGCACATAATGGTAAAACGTGGAGCAACAGAGGAGCACCTGTCTGCAACCCAGCTGCAGATATTGTTAAAAAAGACTGATGAGAAAATAAGCTTTAAGTAAAATCAGACCCATTAAGTTGCACTGTAAATATTCATGGATGCCTGAAAAGAAAACTATGGTGACCATCACATATCCTGTAAGTGCCTTTAAGATACTAAGGTCTTTAAAGAGAAAAACAAAAAATGTTCACTAAAACGTTTTCTCAATAAAAGGTGTTGTTTACTCTAATTAGGGGGATGTTTTTTCTTGTATACATCAACATTTTTACAAAAATAAATATTCAATCTTGCTCAAAGTATTCTTCAACTAATTTTACCCCGACACAAACTCTCATGCATTTTATTTGGGACTTTTAATCCTGAATCAGAGCAAATATTTTAGAAATAATTGGAAGCAAAATGATGAATGGTTCTGAAAAGATCTGACAGAGCCTGGATGCATCTGAGAAGAATATCTGGACGTAAAATGTAGTAAAGTTTGTGGTTGATCGAAACAAAATGGGAAGAAACAGTAAAACAGTAGCAGTAATATGATTTTTTTTGTTCACTTGCTGCATATTGAGTTAGTGTTGAGCATACAAAGTAGCTACGTGGTTGGAGGAGAGACGCACAGCAGCACTCAGTGAATTTAACTGGCAGCTACTTTGATGTTTAAGTAAAGGTAAAAAAAAAAATTAGAGATGCCTCAGAAAAATCCATTTGTTAGACATACAAAGCTTTTTACACAAAAACGGCAAAAGTTTGTAAGTTTATACAAGTTAGTATTATAATGCAAGAAGCTTGAGAAAATATAGTTTAAATGTTATGTTCTTTACTATAAAAGCTTGGCTTCTCAGAGAACCATGACTCACATTTACAGGTTAAAATTAACACCTTTTCTGATTGAACAGACAGAATCAGACTGCAGAGCTTCTACATATCTTGAAATTTTGTTTCTGGCATCATTATATCAGCAAAGAGGTTCATAAATCTTTTTAAACAGAGCACAAAGAGAAGTAGGGAAAGCTGCAGATTTTAAGGTGAAACAGATTTACCTGGATATGCAACATGCAATAAAGTATATGTGCAAGTTAAAACAAGACAAACATAGCAAAAAATATCACACTGTTTTTTTCCCTTATTTTATTGGTTTAAAAGTAATTTAACAAAAAAAAAAAACATATTAAATAAGAATTATCTGTGACTGATCTGAGGGATTTCTTGTTCAGCTGAAGGGAACCTTAAAACTCCTGCTCTGTTTATCTCCTCTCTGCTGCCTTATCAGCCTTTAAACAACAGACGATGAACTAATTGAGTGATCTACACACTCTTCGCCTCTTATCCGTTGTTATGTGTGCTGTGATTGGTTTAAAGTGTCTCCTGCTATCTGGGTTGGAGTTCCCCGGTTAATGATCCACTGCAGCAGTTTGATCTTTATTAATATGACACATCCTGATATCCCCATATACCTCTCCTATGAGCGGCCGCACCTTCGAGACAGAAGCGGTTAAGAGCTTGCAGGCATGCGGCTGATTGACAGTCTGTTCTGCTGCTTGTAAAAAGAAAAAAGCCGCTCAGTGTCATAAAGGTCGCTCAGAAATCAGAGAGTCAAGTTTTTCCCCCTTAAGTCAAATAGATTTTCTCCAACAGATTTGCACACAAACACACCTGTCTGATGCCTTCCAGTCATGTCAGTGACCGTTTCTACATATGAAGGGATCTCTGTGTGTCAAAGTGAGTCAGAATAGCAGTTGCACCACCAGGCATTTTTGGGACCTGTGACGAAAACTTAAATTTGCAAAAAATGGGCTTGACATCATCTTGCTTTTCAAAGTTAAATCTTCCAGCAAACTGCTAATCCAACATTTATCATACAGTTTGCAAATCACTATTTTAAACAAGATCATAGAAAGTGTGCACAAGAGCATGTTTTACACTCTGTAAGAGTTACGATTAAGAAATGAACTATTGTTGTTAAAATTATGCAAAGATAAAAACCTAAAAACGAATAACCTAAAATATACAACTTCTCAATCAAAATGCAATGTAAAATGAATTAACGCAATCATCTCAAAAAGTGAAAGTTGTTTTTATAAAGAAGATAAAAAGATAAAAACTCAGATATGCCGTTGAACATCTGTTACTGATCTGTTGCCAATCCAGACTCACCTGGAGCCTTTAGCTTGCAAATTTATTAAACAAACAAAAACAAACAATAGCATCAAACTGCATTATTTAAATTTCTAATATCCTTGATATCATAATATATTATAATAATATAATGTTTTTTATCGTTATTTCACGAAGATCGTTTTAGATAAAAGGCGTGTTTGAGTTTGTTTCCAAAAATATTCCCTCTATAATGGTAAAAAGAACAAAAGCAGTTTTGTTCCTCTTTTCCCTAAACTACCTAAAAAGATGCTAACCGTCCTGTCATTAAAGACGTTTGCCCTTTAGTGGGACATGGAGGATTTATGTTGGGTTCCAGAGTCAGTCATCTATTGTTAAGAGTAGTAAAATGCTCAGGGAAAGCTTATTTAAATGTATGATTATCTTGCTAAATATTTATCTTAAGTGATTAAATGCTATTTAGTCTTTAGCTAACTTAGTATATTATTTTATTGTTGACATTAAGCCAACAAGTTAACACTCACTGCAGTCTGCCCACCTCTTTTAGAGCGAAACTGGCGTGAAAATAAAAAATTTCTTGTTTTTAGTATTTTCCTCTGTTTTCTCTTTTTGCTTTTATTAAAAAACATGATATTATTCTTTATAAGCAGCATGGTTATAATTGCTTTATATTTTGATGTATTTCCTAGGGCCCCTGCCCTGTTAGTAAGGGACCCTTGGAATCTTCTTTTCTTCCCTCTATATCTAGATAACTGAGCTAATTTAAATAAAAGTTTATAACCCATTTGTTTAGAATGGCCTTGGCTGTTGAAGTTAAACTGTTTACTGTGATGTTATTAGTTTAGGCTTGTGGCCCAACCTTTTTACCTGCTTTAAAAGCTTCTTTAATAATAATCAAAAAAATTTTACTTTCTTTTATTTCCCTTTAATTTTACTGTTGAATTCATGTAAAGCACTTTGAATTGTCTCAGTACTGAAATGCAAATTTATTGCCTATACAACACCCCTGAAGGGAGGCTCCTCTGCAAAGGAAAAGCTAAACATAGATATTATATTTAGGCTTCTTTAAAAAAAAAAAAAAACATTTTTTTGTGTGTATTACACTCATTTATACGGAAGAGGATTAGGGCCACTGAAAAAAAAAAAAAGTTAAGTGATTTTTAAATTTTATTTCAGTTTAACATGGGGAAAAATAGTCAGAATTCTGAATTTTTCTCAGAATTTTGGTTCTTAATGTAGATGGGCACCATGAAGGAAGAGTTGTGAGAGCACTCAGCTTCACTGACAAAGATGTGAGTTGTTCGAGGTGGCCAGTGACACATTGGTGGAAAATGACGGAATTAGGCAACTTTTTCCGTACCCGAGGGGTCCCCTCATTAATGGAGGAGCATAAGGTCATTAAAACAAGAGAGCTAGTCTCTAAAACAGAC